AACCATATTGCGGGTTTGGTCGATGACCATCTGGATATTCTGGTTGAGCACTGTAGGCCCATCTGCGGCTTCCCATGCCGAAAGGGCTGTCGACGCTGTCTCAGCCTTCTCCAGCATTTCTGTGAATATCGATACGGGAACGTTGACGGTATCCTCCGGGGGCTGCTCATTTCTGCTGCTCGATTTTGTCACGAGCTGGGTGACAATGTTGTTGAAGGTTGCTGACGGGAGCTTTGCATTCTCAAGAAGAAAAATGGCAAAATTCTGGCTTTCTTGCATGCCTTGGGAGGAACTGCACATGTTCAAGTAACGCTTGGCGAGCCCTTGGAACTTCCTTGCGAACGCGTGCGGTTTTTCTCCCTTGGTCCTGATGCATTTGTAGATGCTCTGGGAGATCCCTACCAAGCGCCGAATGCCATCAGTCGGACTGTCTTTTGCGATGATCTGCACGATTTCGTTTATAAGCTTAAATTGCTCCTTGGCCATATTGGCCACACTCATATCTTCACCGTCATCGTCGAGGTTGAGGGATATCTGGTTTCGTTGTACGGCGTTATCCAAAATGTTTCGCTGGTCTTGCTCGAGAGAAAAGTACAAAGTGAGCCCCAAAGCGCTAAGCATACCTTTTGCTCTGTTATCGCCACCTTTCGCATAGCGTTTCAAGATTTGACACCATGTTCTCACATCCAGCCGCCACTGATACTTATCTGTCTCATGCGTCAGCTTTGGAGGTTCGATAAGTGATCGATTTGAAAAGTTAGCGTCTGGACCCATAACTGTCGAGTTATAGGTCATGGCGAGCTGGTTACAGTGGAAGTCAGTGCAACGTATCGAGCAAGGAAATGTGTAGAGGTGTCAACACGGTATCCGAAGCGACGGGCGTAGTAGGTAGAGCACACTCTTCTGATGAAGAGAGCGTAGCGGCCGAAGGGTAAGGATGGCAAAGATTGGTCAGCACCAATTGCTGGGGCTTCCTCCTCTCTCTATCCTCTTTTTACTGCTCATTCCTCTTTCTTAAGTATCCGCTTTTCGCTCGAACGCCGGTACTGTTCTACTGCTTTGCCGCTCTAATTCCGTGGTTGTAGATACATGTTGCACATATTGGATTGCACGTATCGGAATTAGCTGTCTGCCCCACCCTCGTCCATCTCGAATTGGGCCGCGTGCCATTTTGCCGTTCTCTTGCAATGAAAACAATTGCGCTTGCTTCTCAGACTGTCGCGCTCGTCTGAGGTACTCTATATCCACATGCATGGCCTTAGCTTTCCCCTTCTGTGCAAGGTGTTTCTGTTGCCTCTTTCCCTGTGACCGTTGGCGCGGTGGTGCTCACTGCTCCCTGGGTCTGCGTTTCTGCTTGCTTGTGTTGGTAAGTGCGTCTTACCAACAACCAATTCCTCATCAAACGATGAGCCGTTCTCATGCTTGCTCACTCGAAGATATCCTTTTGGCAGAGCTCGTTGCGAACAGGGGCTGTCACCCAATGGATCCAATTCTAACAAGTGTCAAAATCTCTATGGTCTCATTTCACACTGATCAGATTACAACCGTACGTACAGTATGCAACGGAAGTTGCCTTCGTACTGTATATCATCTCTTAAATTGCTTATGATTGGACAGCTTTACTCTTTCTCGTCCGGTATATAACGGTTACACTCTTTACGTAAAGTCAGTACCCCAAACTCCGTTTCATGGCATATAGCTTGTCTGCTACCTGCCGATACGGATGAATTGTGGACATGTAGCACTGTGGGGCAGGGCTGTGTATCAATCGTTCTCAGAGACTGTACATACTGTACTATGTTGACTACAGTGGCGAATAACTCTGGAGATTCGACAGGAGGTCTCGAAGCCGTATTGCGCATACTGTCTCACGATGCTAAGCTAATTGGCCCCTCGTACCCCGCTGCAGATGGCAGAAGGAGCAGTGGACGAGGCACATGGGACGAGTGACACCGTTGAATGACATGCCGGCTAGAGATCTGGTCGATCTGTCAGCTTCTTAAGAGGAGGGCCGACCTGCTACCTGAACTGCTTCTACTGCTTGTAAAATGCTTTACAACTTCTGCACAGGCCACAAAATGAGCTGCGCCGAGTGCTTTGCATGAATACATGTACGGTATACATGATAGCAGGAACACACAAACCGCGTGACTATTCAGAATCCCGTTTGCGTAAGCTCACTTGTGTCAACATTTCGAGACCATTCGTATTTCTCGATAATTCTTATTTGTGTATGATCTTTGACGGGTCTACCCTATTCTAAAAAAACGCATTTACTCGGCACTTGGTAATTTCCAAACCTTTTCAACACAAGTCCACACGTTTATGAATGCGATTCAACGTTTGTTGCGTGCGATTCGTCGAGACGATGGCGTCCCTTGGAGTCGCTCCCTCCTCTGGAGTGGTCGGGTCACTTCCCCTTCTGCCGGGTGGTCATCTCTCACAGATGAAGAGATTTTCCAGCCAACCAATCCGAATGCCTCTCCAGAGCAGCGGTCCTCTCCTTCTCGTTCTTACAACAAAAGCTTTCCTTGTTGCCAAACCTGGCGCATTGTTGCCGTCTCGGAGCCTCATCATCTCCAACACATCTCAAACTGTGGTGAAATTAAAGCTCAACACTGCTTCCTTCTATAGTATGTGCATCACACCGCCTCGCTCATCATCAGAATACAACACACACCTCAGCCTGATAGCGTACTCTCTCTTCCCAACTCTACACGGGTTCATGATATCATTTCCGCATCGCCATGAAATTCATCCTCTTGCTCATCCTTTCCCTACTTACGGAGCTCTCATCTGCGCAACGACACACGTTCGACCACTGCAAATCGTCTGCCGAATGCTCTAACGGAAATCGATGCATCCACTTTGCCAACACAGCACTCCGTGAATGCACAACTTCCACCTTCACGCTCATATGTGCATGCACCACTACCCTCCCCACGTCCCCGCCCATCTGCCTGTCGTCCTTCGATTGCCGGGCAGAGGAAATGTGCACGAACCAAGTGCAGGGCGGCAAGGCTAGCGGCGTATGCGTTTCCCGAGAATGGGCTGTCTGGATAGCGTCCATCAACCCCAGGTTCAAACTCTCGGACTCTAGCAGCCTTGCTCCTTCTCCAGAACAAGTCGATTCAACTCTCCAGCTTTTGGACGACGGGTACAGCGTTTACCCTTGCGTTTCTAGCGATGAGTGCGCCTCCTCGCGGACTTGCTACGATGTTTTCAAGGCAGGCAGTTGCTCCAGTGGAAGTACTGACCTGGCCTGCATTTGCTTGCCCGCTGGGGTACCACCTTCGCCCTTACAATGTCGCAGGGGCACGTGTACAAACACCGAAGTGTGCTCAAATGAAATTAACTCAAGTAACCCACCGGAGAATGGCGTATGCCTGTCTAGAGCGTTTGCGGAACGGATTGCAGAGCGAATGGGTGCATCGATTGAGAGTGAAGAAGTGTGTGTGGCAGTGCATCACCTGAGCGATACAGCGAGAAGCGACCTGATTTATGAGAATGACAAACTCGCACGTGTGCTCTGCGATGAGCACGGCAGCTGCGCCACTCCGGGGCACATGGTCAGTTTTCACGGGCAAGCGATGTCAATGAAAAGTTACTGCTCCAAATTATCGGATCCATCTGATAGATGTGTTATCAAGATGATGTACGTGAATAGCCCCCGGTTTAGAAGAGGTGTGGTTATCAATTCGCGAACGCACGGACTTGTGTTTACCGCGCTCGCAGCGCGATATCAATCTAGGCTGGAAGAGAGCGTTCTCTCTTTCGTAATCCGTGTCGAGGGTTAGAATGTCTACAAGTTGCCGCCTTGCTCATGGCAGCAAGAACCGGGAAGACCCGAGTTTATCCCGATGTGTCTTGATGAACCGTTGACGAATTGGTGGTCATGGAGGCATCTTTCTCTATAATTTGCATGCAGACGAGCTTATCTCTTTGTGACAAAGCTCGAGTCCATAGAGAAGGCCTCTCTTCAAAGATCAAGGAATTAAGTCAGATGCATCGAGGAGCGGAAAAATTGTAACAAGTAGAACGCGCTGCACTGTAGAGAAAACCCGCGAAATCTGTCAAGTACGGTAGAGGCCCTGCACATTATTTACACTTCTGTAGGAAAATTGAAGGGATGAGTGTCATGAGAGCCATATGCACACACGTTGCACACGTACAACAGCGATCAGCTCACCACGATCACCGCAGGCCTACGGATCACCAGCCCCCCTTTATAAGGTAGACAGGCATTAGACATCAGTAAACCTAGGCATCGGTCTTGCATCACAAACAGAACGAGATCGTTTACTCAGTAGACGACGCCGGACACCCACAGTTAAAGGGTGTAACAGAGTTCCCTGATACACATTGTCTTCCCCAATTACTGCCAATTCTCGCAGCAACTAGGCCTGTACCCTCTGCAGATATTCGTGAAGGGCTTTCTTGTGAAGTAGCTTTACAGCGTCCTTTTCTACTGCTCAATGACATGGCAGACTTTGACGGGTGCATTTCTTTGATGAGATGGTCGTGTGGAGTAGTTGTGGAGCAGTTGTGGTCTATAAGGTAAGAATTGAAAGATGTTGTTGGCGTGCCTGGCGCCACGTGATTTGCCATTTCACCATGTCAATAGTGCAAGCGCGGCATGACAGACGGGAGGAACGGGGGCGGACATGACCGTTGTCACACAGGCGTAGAGCACGTGTCCGAGTAGGACGACAGGACCCCTGGTGCCTCCTTAAAAGCTCGCGGCCTTGCACCGGAGCAATATCCGACGGCTCAATGTGGTGTAAGATCGATGACTCCTTTTACTGAAAATTGCGGTTGGAATTTTAGGACAGAAATTTTGTTGTCGGTGGGGTCTTGGCGGTGGGGTCACCCTTATTCTCCAACCGGTGGGGATGCTCTAAATTAGGGTGTAATGGTATGGCCGGTACAGAGCAGTCGAAATCCAGAGGATTTAACTATTCCTCCAGTGAAGACTGCTCCATTTGAGTGCGTCTCTGCATTTAGCTCTGGCAACACCGGTGGAGTGTGTTGATGTCGGAGCTAAAATGCCAAATATGAGCAAATGCACCTGGGCATGCGCACCAGTATTTGAATGACAAGTGATGAAAATATTTAGCTCTTTGCTCATTTATTCTCCAACCGGTGGGGATGCTCTTACAAGTCCGACGGAGCGACCACTCAGCCGACCTGTGCCAAACTCGAAGCGCGGCTACTCGGTGGTGAAGCTGTCGTCGATGGCAAACTCCGAGCGGATCTGCTCGCCCGACTTGCCCTTGATCATGTCGGCGACGCTGCGCGGGGCGGGAGGGGGGCGGAGGAGACGGGGGAGGGGTTAGCGTGCGGGAGGTGGGGGCGCGGCGCGCGTGCGGGCGGGACTTACGTTTTGCAGGCCAGGTCGAGCAGCGGCTGGACGTTGAGGAAGTTTGCGGCCTGCGGCGGGGGTGCGGGGGTGGAGGGGGGAAGGTCAGCGGGCGGGGCGGGATGGCGGGGCGGTTGCAGAGGGTGTCGGGGGCGGGCGGGGCGTACCGTGAGGACGAGGAAGAGGGTGCGCTTGTCGACGCGGACGAAGGCGGCCTCCCAGGTGTCGATCTCCTCGGCGGCGTGCGGGGTGAGGCGGTGGTCGTGGTGGAAGGCGCAGAAGTCGATGACCTTTTGCAGGATGGGCGCGGTGACGGGGCCCATGGGGATGCTCATGCCGTCGACGACGTCGACGTCGCACACCATGTCCTGCACGAAGCAGATGCGCATGGCGACCGGCTTGGACACCTCGAAGATGGCGCCGTCGCTCGCGCGCAGCTTGAGCGTGATCGGGCGCGTCGGCTCGGGCATTGTTGGCGGGCGGGCGCGCTACGGGCGTCTGGGAGGCGGGGCAGAGGGAGGGGGGGGTATCGCCGGGCGAAGCGAGCGCGGGGTGCGGGACTCCGCGGAAGGCGTGGAGGGGTTTGGTTAGGTCAATTGGCAGCCCTTCAAGAAACGTGTGTATTTGGGAGGACGTGTCACACGTGTACGTTTCCATGGGCAGAGTATAGAGGAAGGAGTCGACCAGCACCTCCACCCCTCGCGAGCTCAAGTGTAGCATACGACTTGTGCGCACTACGACAATACAAATAGACAGACGGACGTGCTTTTTGACGCAGGGTTTCTAGCAGGGTTTCAAGTTCGTGTAAGTGGAAACAGAAACAGAAACAATCGGGCTACAACTCTAAAACAGCGGCACCCACCTCACGTCGAACCCGCCATTCCCCAGCAGGAGCCACCCCCTCGACGTAGGAGGTCGAACAATCATGTCGGGCGCTTTCGCACGAAGAAGCCCGAGGTAGGGAGATTGATGGAGGTTGCTTCAAAGTCGAGCGCCACACAAAAGACCTGTTTTTGAACCGAGAATGAAATACTTCCATCACTCTCGACCACTCCGTACCGTATACCTCCATATCTGGGGTGAAATACCACTACGGTCGGGTGTCGGGATCTCTATATGCGAGCGCTACACGAGAAAATGCTTTTCGACGTGTGTAGCGGTCGGGCTGTGCCGAAAACTCGAAAAATAGTGTGCTTCCATATCTCTGCCGTCGAGCTTAGCGACAAATATTTTGTTCGGTCACGTGGAAAACGTGGATGAGAGCTAAGAGGTTGTCAGTGTCACGTTTCTCCCTTATCGCTTGTTTAATTTCGGGTACATACATTCGGCAACTGGTTTCAGTGTCCAAGATGAGCGAACAAGGGCCCGCGACCGAAAATACCTCGAAAGATTCATCTGGCCGATGATGCCGTTTAGAGAAGTAATACATAGAACACGAGCACGCTCTTTGACAGGTATATATAAGGATGAGTCAATTCTTGTCTTCTCCAAACGAAGCACAGTTGCACTTCTTCCTGTAAGATAAAACACATTCAAGTCATCACGAGTGATAAAAGTTACCGAAAACAACTAAAATGGAAAGGGGCCGCTCATCGAAACCACGAAAGGAAATTGCTAAGGAGTACAGGAGCTCTCACGTCGATTCGATATTTATTGCAGACGAAGCTCTAAAGCGACGAGAGCGAGGCTACAAGGAACGGGGGAGCAACGGATATTTGAAGTGCGACGTGCCAGGCTGTGAGTTTTTATTTGTGAAGCTAAGCGCAAAGGAAAGGCATTGGCGGACTGTGCATAGGAAGGAACGGCGGTATGAGTGTGAGGCCTCAGGGTGTGAAGCGAGTTTTTTCGAGAAGAATCAGCTACGGAGACACGAAAACGACATCCATAACAGTAAGCGCTTCGACTGTCCACAATGTGACAAGTCTTATAGCAGGCAGTGGACTTTGTCCAATCATGTGGAAAAAAATCATGGGGAGGGCAACAGAAATTCGAACAGGATGCAGCGTCGCTCATGAGTTGTTCTTTCTCAAGGTTTCAAGAGTATAGATGTGTCGATATTTAATAAGAATAAAAAGTCACCCTTTTCCTGAAGTATGTGGCACTACTTGATTAAAAGAACAGTTTTGAAACTAACGAATATCATGTGGTGAGAACAACGGCTTGCGTCGCGACACTTCGTGAGACGTGACAATTGGTTTGTGCAGGAGCACAGCGTGAATTAAAGACACCAAAGCAAAAGGACACAGTCCTGCGAAGCAACAAGCAAACGAAAGAGAATGATGTAAATGCATGACTAGAGAAAGAAGTAGCTGCAAGGAATTATTTACCTAATGTTAAAGACGGTTCCGGAGCAACATGTAGACACATAAACCTAGGACCAGTCTCAGTTTTCCATTCGAAAAGGACCGATCATCATACTACAGCTCTAAAAAAGCTGCACCCACCTTCCATCAAACCCGCCATTCTCCTCCAGGTGCCAGCCCTTCGGAAGCCATCGCCCACCTCCGACGTTTCCGTCATGCGAGAAAAAGTCGTGCTGTCTAAAGTACGACTCCTCCTTACTGTTTGGGTCTCCATTAGCCGCTATGCGCTCCGGGTCGGACCAAGCAGCATCCGTGTCAGCCCCCCCGTCAAGCCGATAGAAGCCCCAGAACCACGACTTCGTGGGGTACCCGCTCCTGTTCTCGTCCTCGTCTTCATCGTCCAGCGAGCGTGCGTAAAACGTCTGTAGGCCCGTCGGCACCGGGGGCCGCCGTCAATCCCTCCCGCAAGCGGCTCCTTCAAGTAAACCCTGCGTGACGACTCCGTGCCCCAGTGCACGCTGTAGCGCCCGCCGGACCAGTGCGTCGGGAATATGTCCGCGAGGTCCTGCAGCTCGTACTTGATTCGCGGTATATTGCTAAATGTAAGCCGGTCGCGGTCTTTGCCGTGCTGCAAGTCGTTTGCGTTTGATTGTGTCAGAGTCTGAGCGTTCCAGTATGACACGGCTTCGCTGTCATCTTGTGGGACGAATATGTAGTGAACGTTCTTTTCGTCATCGCCGTTCACATCGACTTCAGCCTTGTCGTCTGAAGCGACGTGTCTTGAGACCGTGTCAAAGGCATCTTCCACAAAGTGCAGCTCGCCCCCGTAGAAGCCGGTCATAATTCCAAAAAGATTGCGCTCCTTTCGCTGCTCGGCTTGCCATATCATCGGGTGCGACCCAGAACCTGTACTCATGAAGTTCAGGTCTCCATCCCCGCGTCGACGTATAGTGTCGTCAGAATGTTCTGTGATGACCACGTACACCGCTGTTTCGCCGGAACCCGGGTCGCCAGTGATACCCATCAGGCGAACTTCTATCCTTTCCCAGTCATGGATTGACCGGTCCTGCTTGGCGTGGTAGACGTGATACAACAATGTTGCCTCTTTCTGCGTCCCATCTTCTGTCATGTACTCGATCATGGATGTGTACATCGTCGGGGCGGATATTCCAGTCCGAGTGGGAAGAGGCATCGATGAAACTGTTGAGATCCTCCCAGTTTTCTTTGCTGTTCGAAAAGTCCTTGTCGTTGTCAAAGTCGAAGTTGGTGAGGCAGTCGTACCCTCTTCGCTCCGAGCTTTCGTCTGCGCGTTTGAATAGCAATGGGGCATAATATGTCAAGAACTGACGGCGCTGGTCGTAATACAAGGACCATGCCTGGCCTTTGGCAAGTGCGGTGATGCTGCCCCAAACAAAGAAGAAAGCAAGACACGAGAAAAACCAACTGCGTAGAGTCATTTTGGAGGTAGCCAGTGGATACCTCAATGAGATTGTGAGTGAAATTGCAAATTGTGATCGAATCTCGCGATGTACCTACAGGGGGGGGTCACGATTTAGTGCCCTCTTTGACAGTGCCTCCCTCGGTTTAGTGCCACCAAAACCCGGTTGTCACGGCTTATCATAACACGACACGTGAAGTCCAATTCTAGGTCGAGCGCAATGCGACGCCGCGCACTCGCCCGGATCCATATTCTTCCACATTCACGTTTTCGTTGAGACTGGCGACCTCCACCCATCGCCCAATCAACCCTCGTATTGTTCACCTTTCCTGATCGCCCCCCTTCTGACTCAAATGGACATGACAGCAAAAATATCGTCACAGCCCAAGCCTAAAACGCGGCGAAGGCGCCTCACAGTCAATCAAAAGGCAGACATCGCGAGACAAATGCAAACAGGGACACTCGCTAATCACATCATGAAAAAGTACCAGATCTCTCGCCGAACTGTAACAAACATTCGATCAAATATCGACCGTATCATGGAAACGGCAATTACTTCAAACGTCTCTCTAAACAGCAAATCCGTCAAAGCATGTGCCGTTCCGTTGCTCGAAAAGTTGCTTCTTGAATTTATCACAATTTCCCGTTCACTCAAGATGCCGGTTACTCAAGGCGTTATTCAAGCAAAGGCATTGCTGATTCAGGACGAACTTTTAAAGGGAGAGCAGACGATGTGCGCAGCCGAGCATCAGACGCTGGATATTTTCAAAGCATCATGTGGATGGGTAAGTAAATTTGTACAGCGTTATTCCCTTCGTTCAGTTTCCTTACATGGCGAAGCTGGCTCTGTTAACCTCAACGCCATTGGAGAGCGCATTGTACTACTGCGCGGATTGATGAGCAAGTTCAAGGTTCAAAGAAATTTTCAACGTGGATGAAACAGGACTTTTTTATAAATTACTACCACGGAATACATACATCTGCACACATGAAAACAGAAAATCTGTTCGAAGAACTAAGGGCATGAATGCGAAGGACCGCATCAAGGCATATGTCTGCACTAATGCTGATGGATCGTTGAAACTACCGATGGCAATTATTGGTAAGAGCAAAAACCCAAGATGCTTCCGGCTTGGCCAACCGCCAGTGCCCTACTTTAGTCAATCTAATGCGTGGTCCAACGCTGTTACTTTTAAGAAATGGTTTTACCAGATCTTTCTTCCATATGTCAGGTCTAAGACATCTGACCCCGTTCTTCTCCTGATGGACAACTGCGGGCCGCACGGTACGGATTTAGAAGATGTAAGAGGCCAAGTATCGATAATGACACTACCACCAAATTGCACATCAGTTCATTAGCCAATGGATCTAGGAATTATTTCATGCTGGAAGATACGTTATCGCCATCACATGTTGCGGGAAATTGTTCGCGACATTGAGGACCGAGCCACGAAGCGCAATATAAATAAGAAAAAGACCGCTGGAACGAGAGGCATGAGGGATGGATACGATCCTCACATGCTTGATGTTTCCGAAATGGTCCACATGACTTGGGAAACTGTCAGCCAACAAACAATTGCCAGGTGTTGGGTCAAAGCAGGTATTCTGCCATTGGAGATGCAGGCTGACCTCACAAGCCAGTACGGAAAGATGCATGGTAGTCGTGTATCGGCAGATAAAGAAGTTTTAAGAAAAGTAATAGAAATGATAAAGCATTTATCTTTAAATGTGAAAGAGGACGACGAACTTTCAACCTATGGAGTTGAGAACATTACGATTAGAGACGCTGAGAGTTGGTTATGTGTGGAGGAGGAGCCTAATGTTGTAGAGGGAATGGCAAATGATTCGTTTGACCTGGCGCGCACATTTATTACTGGTCGCAATAGTCATTTGACGGATACAGATGACATGAATGAAGATTGCCAAGATGTGAAAAACATCCCGAGTTCTCTGGTTGTATCGGCTATGTTCTGCGAGTT